GGGAAACAAGAATCCGGTGATTATAAAAAGTAGTGACTATATAAAGGTTAAATTTTATATATTTTATATTAGCTGGAGTTAAAAAATAGCATGATTATATCAAGGTTGTGACTATATTAAGAGTGACTATAATGAGGTCTGACTGTATTTTATTTGCTATCTTTTTGTATATTTTGCAATATAGATATAAATGATTGTATTTGTCACAAACCTTACATCTGTGCTTCTACTCTCTAAAAATATGCCAATTTTTGATATCTGTATTATTATGTTTCTTCATTGTTATATTAACAAAATAAAAATAAAAATTTTTTATAGCAATAAGGACTTTGCTTCTATATAATAATGATTTGTTCAAAGTTATATGATATTTCTTATTGGCTATATTTATGTAATGGCTTAAAGGATCTGCAAATATATTGATCATATGATTATCTTTATATATAATTACCTTTTTTCTTATACATATTTTTTTTTTTTTAAATTTGTTCTACAAATCTTCTATATTTGTTTAATATTACTCTTGGTCATATATACTAGCAAATACAAAAATATATCAGATAATTAACAGGAAGATAAGATAGACAGATTTATATATATTAATGATTTGTATAAACTTAATAGATTAATTTTTATGATAGTATTGATTTTCTAAAGACATTCTATTATTTTAAATAACATAGAACAATTTATATCCAAATCCAAAGTAGTAGATATTATAACTATGATTGCTGAAAATACAAATCTAATTCTATTAGATGAATTCAGAAGATCTATAATACTTTGACCCCAGATAGTGCTATGTTTTACTATAAGCTTAAAAACAATGATACTAAAGAATCTTTTCTTCATGCTATAGTATCAACACAAAAAGATAAATGTAAAAAAGGAGTATGTTTTGTTCTGCTTATATTTGTTTTATTTATTCTATTATTAAAATTTTTAAATAACTATTTAGATTCTTTCTATTTTCAATTTTTTTAAACTTATCTAATAGAAGTCAGCTATTAGCTTACTTGTTAATTTTGCTATATTTGTTATGGTTATTTGTGTTATTGTAAATAATGCAGTATTCAAAAATAAAATATATAAAATAATTTTATATGTTGTCATATATTTCATTTAATATTTTGTAATCATAATGGTTTTAGATAGTATATAAAATTTATATATACAATGTGCTTATGAGCATATGTTTTTAAAAGTTTTCACACGTTTTTCGGTGATATACTGATCAGAATCGAAAAATTTTAGTACCATCTTATTGGACGAATCAAATAATATAAAAATTATTCTAATTGCTAAACCACAAGATGTAAGTAAAAGTCGATATTACTTATGCCAGTATTAAGTTTCTTTTAATTTTTCCTCATTTAGGTAATGTCCGGAGGAAGGATGCAATAATACGTACAATACGAAACACATAGTGATACATAGTGCGCCATAATACCCCAAATGTAAAAAACATAACGTTTTTTGAGTAGATTTTGAAAGTTCACGTTTCAAACTAAACATGATTTAATACGTATAAAACCAATATTAAGCTATTTTTTAAAGCTTATTTTACGTATAATTTTATTATTGCATTATTCTGCTAATAAATTGTAATTTCAAGCCTCACGATAATGTGGAACGGTGCAAAAATTGATTTTTAAAAATCTAATTTTTTTTTTTTGGTCCCTGATCAAATTGTCCTGAGCTCCTTTATTTTATTCTGAAAATGTCTTAATATTATTAACAATAAAAACATTGACTTAAAAATTAAAAAATGGCTATTACAAAATTTTTCATTAGCTAGAAAAAAAAAGGAAAATATGCCTTAAAAAGAAAACAACTAAACCTATAAAGACAACTTTTATCAAGAATGACAGAACAAGTTGGTTGTCTTACGTAGTATATACTGCAGTATATACTGTAGTAATTAAATTTTAGGCAATGCCCGCATAGATGCGTGATTTGTGTAATGTTAATTTATCTGAAAAGGCATTTGAATGCACTAAAAACGGCAAACAATGATCAGATAATAAATACAGCATTTGCACATTTTGTACGTACGTACGTACATCATTCATCATTTTACCAGTTAAACTTTTGCTCCAAAGATGTCTGTAGAAAAGTCTTCGGTACTTGTCATAATTGTATATCAGGCAATGTTCCTTTTAACTGGATTTTATCAATCTATCGCAGCACAATATTTATACTATCAAGGAGCTGCTAGTAAGAGTTATAATTTTTTCTTTATTAAAAATTAATTACCATTATTAAAGTGGTTTTATTTTTATTTTTTTTTATTATTTTTTTTTAGGCGGAACAAGGTATTATCATCTTTTGTTACAGGAATATTGAAAAATTCAAAAAATCTTCATAATGATATTCCATATTAATTGTAGCCTACTCACAAATACCGCACAATATATTGGGACTGCGTTGGTTGGGCTGTTGCTTATACCTTCATGGTTGGCTAAGAGAAACAGATCAAATAATATAGAGTTCAAGAGAAAAAGATCGAGCACTATGGAATTCGCTATGGTGAATATCGGCCAAATCAAGGTTGTTTGTGTACTTTGAATTATGTCGAAATTAATCCTTGACATTTTTTATATTTTCGGATTTCTATAAGGATATCCATTCAGACAAGTTTATAAACCCATTCAATTACAATCATTTTTCTTTAATTTATTTACTTATTTATGATTATTATTAATTCATTAGAACTAAATATTTGGCTGTCAAATTTTTTTTCTATTAGGCAAATAAAACACAGAAAGAATATCAACTATTACCAAGTGGTGATGCTGAAGATACTTTTGACGATACTGGGGAATATATGGATAACAAAATTTCAAATCAGAATGAAGTTGTAAACTATTATTTAATTATAGCTGCATCATTGTTGGACATTACCGCTAATTTTGCGTTAACGATAGGCTTTTTCTATGTTGGAAGTGGGGTAAGTTAGTTTTCATAAATTGTTCATATACCATTATTAGCAGCACAACTAACCTTTATTTTTCCATTTTGTTTTCATTTCCATCGGTGTATATAACAAGATGTTTCAAGTAATTTACAGTTCAGTAGTCATTTGGTGTGCTATTCTTTCGTTTATTTTTCTTGGACGAAAACTTTTATTTGTACAATCTCTATGCATTTTTGGTGTATTCATCGGACTTGCTCTTAGCGCACTGGGAATTTATCAAGATCAGGGTGATCAGCATTCAACACCACCACCCGCAACTGCTACTGGTCCAACGTTACTTCACTCTTTTAACATGTCTTCTACAATGTTTGGAATGATCTTAACATCATTTGCTACATTTGGTTATGCATGTGTTTACGTTGTATCAGATCAAATTTTTATTGTTCGTGCTTCAAATGAACTTCCGCCTTCTCCAGAAAAAGCTTGCTTCTTGGTAGGAAGCTGTTGTTCATGTTTGTCTATCTTATATATAATCTTTTATACAATTCCCAATTGGAACTCACTGGTAACGGATGAAATTGCGAAGAAAGCCGAGCATACGAGCACTTTCACAATTGTAACCATATATTTGATGTTAATATTTGCATCATTTATTCACAACCTTGCTTATTATCAGCTGATTAAACAAATTGGCAATGTCTCTACTGGATTGTTAAATTCTATTAGAGCGATCGTGGTATTTGGGCTTAGTCATATAATGTTTTGTGAAATAGATAATGGTCAATGCTTCAATGTTTGGAAAGGATGGAGTACTCTCATAGTAGTTGGATGTGTGACCATTTTTTCTCTTAGCAAATTACACGAAAATAAGAAAATAAGAGTTTGAATTCCTCAGAAATACCGTGTTTTTATATTAGAATTGTTATTATATAGATTATTATACAGTGATTGTATCACACCTGAATAAATGCTATGTATTAGATTATATAAAATATTAAAATTATACCTTATCTATCCGACCTGTGTATCCGGGGTATATTATGAAACATGTTCATACCCCGGTTATTAAAACTACCCTAGCTATTAAATGAAGCGAGGGCACACATGTCGAATAAATACGCCGGTATTACCCTATCCTTTACACTATTCTATGGGTGGAATTGTAGATTATCTCATCGGGATTTAGAAAATGTACACTAAGTATTTGCATCGTTTTACATTCGAAATTGTAGTGCTAAACGGTAACCGCTTTTTTTTCACTTAGTATTCCGATCCTATCCTTGACAGCCGTCCTTTCGGATGAATTATGAATACAAAACCAGCGCTAGCTTTAAGGCACATCCTTACTTACGTTCGTTCTTTGACCGATTTGATTGGCCAATGCAGCAACATGACATAAATTAGCCAATCAAGAAGTATTCCAATCCAATCCGACTATTTTTTGGCATCGTTGTTTTACTCGATACAGTATCAAAAGTGACCACAACGTGTGTATAATGAGGTCTGATTATTATTAAAAATTTACAATTACCAATCAAATTAAATATTTATTATTATACAAGATTTATAAGATGATTAGATGTGAATAATAGGCATGTTATACGGGATCACGTCGAGTTGAACCACGACCACGTTTACTACGTCGGTTTGATATTGTACCGCGACCACGACCACGACCACGAGACCCATTAAAAGAGGATTCATTCGGACAATTGTTTGACCAGTGTCCAACCTATGTAAAAAATTTAAATATACTTAGCCAGTGATTTTATAATGAGAATATATTTTATATAAATAAATAGCACAGACTTGGTTGCATTTATAACACGTAGAGGTACTCATTCTTGACTGGACTGTACTATTAGTAGTCGCGTTTGTTCTGGTTCTCTTCGATTCCTTACACATATTAGCGAAATGACCGGCCTGTATATACCAGAGAAAGTTAATTAGATTCTAAAAAATTTAAAATGTTCTGAAACATAATATTTAAACTTACTTCACCACAATTATAACATGTACCATTTCCAGTACTACTGTCACTACTCGCATGAGTTCGACGAGTACCTGAGCCTGAACTCGATGCTCCATCTGCCCATTGGAAAAAAGTACATTTTTTACCTGCCTTTGGGCATGTAAAATAAGGCCTTCCATGATTAACTCCTAAAGACATTGTCTTATTAGAAGCAGCATAGAGTCCACATCGACATTTAGGATGATCTGATTGACTCGAATCAGATTGAGTTGTTGAAGATCGAAATATTGACTAAAAAATAATAAATGAATGAATATAGTTTGATAACATTAAAACGAAAATATAAAATCAGGATCAGCGTGTTCCAAATTATATACCAACCGCAGCGGACTGGAACGACGATGTATAACATCTAGTTGGTTGCGCAGGCCTCGGACGTCTTTCAAGCTATAAATCATTGATATAGAAACTTTAATGAAAAAAATAATCTTCTAGCATTACATGGACACATACCGGCGTATTATTAGAAACATCAAGGTTAAGGTTGGACCCAGACATTGTTAAACGGGTAGAAATGCTCTATAATATATATATGCACGTAAAATAAATAAAACAAATAAAAAATATAAATATAAATAAATATTTGATAACACCCAAATTACGTATTATATTCAAAATTAATCCTTACTCGAACTAATTTTTGAACATTTTCACTTGTCTTGATATACATATCTTTGTACATGGCAAGACTATCTTTGATCACATCTTCTTTCTGCTGTCGTCCTTCACAAACCATTTTAAATTTTGATTCCATCTGAAAATATTTCGTGCGTTATTAATGCGATAAGTCAATATAAACATTGTGAGTTATACCGTTTATTTCTCACCTCTCTTCTTAAAAATGGTTTAGACAACGACTTATCAAATCCAATAGAGTCATAACCTTCGACTAGCGCAACACCCAAGTTTGATGGTAATATATAAGTTTTTCCATTCCTAAAGTCTTTTCTAGCGTATTCTCGCTCAATTATCTTAGCAATATGTACATGAATGGTTGCATCAGTACCTGTTGAAAATAAAAGTAATTAATTTTATTTCTTTTTTGAATTCAAATTAAATAACTTTATTTACCTATACCATTCTGGTCCATTATACTAATTAAATCTGCTTCAGTCAAATATTCAGGTGGTGAAGTATGACCTTCTCGCATTTCACATGTGGTAGGTATAAATGTTTCACCTTTCTGAAAATTTGGCAAATTTGATTCACCCCAACGATCATAAGGATATACATCCAAATAATTTCTAGCCAATATTACAAGTCCTGTACAAAAAATTATGAATATCAAATACTTGAATACAGATACTAACCAATTAACATACCTCTAGCGGTAAATTTTTCCTCCCACAACCTGATTTCTATGGTCGTCTCGTGTCCTACAGCATGGTCTGAGCAACATGCCAAAAAACGCCTAACAACAAACTCGTATACTTTGAGTTCGTCTCCTGTTAAATCAGATGCATAAAGAGTCGGATGAATTGGAGGATGGGCCTGATCATTATGACTTCCATTACGTGGTGTACGAAATTCACCAGCCAAAAGTCTACAACGGGCATATTATCAATAATCTGATTATTGAATATTAAATATAAATAAACGTACAACCTCGTTGCAAAATCTCCCCATCTTGTATCTTGGGTTTGTTTTTCGATCAAAGAGCGAAAATCGAATTGCTTATCGAATTGATCTGTTTCTGTTCTTGGATAGCTTATAAAACCTTTAACATACAATTGCTCGGCGACCTATTTATGATGAATTTTACAATTTACGTTACATAATCTAAAGCAGTGTTGGAAAATGACAATATCATATGATATATTCCTATGATATAGATTCATATGAATCATATGCTATATGATATGGATTATGTCATATTATTAATATATGACACTTCATATGATATTGTAATATGACAAGTCATATGTCATGTAATTTAAATGACATCATCGGCCAACACTGATCTAAAGAGTTACAATTATTAAGGTCAATTATACTTACATTCATCAATCTATCTGACGAAATGTGTAAATACCTCGATCCAATCTTTTGAAGTTCTACGGTAGTTAGCGGATACGGTTTCCTATCATTAAGTGTTTTGGGGAGAATGTTTAAAGATGAACCATGCTATACATAGACATAAGGATTTGAATCAGTTTAGTCGACTAAACCGATTCCGGTCCTTACATTGGCATACTATGGGAAACTAAAGCCCTTACCATTTTTTTACTTCTTTAGAGTTGACCTCAACGACAGTTGCCGTTGGATTTTCCAAACATTTCTCATAAATTATAACGCATGCTAAACGATCGAATAAATGATTTCTCACCCAGTGAAACTCTACCATACTACCATCACGTTCTAATGCTACATATATTTTCCAGAAAATTTCTGTTACAAAATTCTGAACCTTTAGATATTGATCCACAACGAAGCCCAGCGTTGGAAACTGGCAGGATCCTATAAAAATTAATAATATAGGAATATTGATTAAACATATAGGTATATATATTATCAAATTCTATCGTGCTTACCATAACTTATTACTTTGTTGTTAAGTTCTGAAAACAAACTTCGTAGGTTAAGAGTTTGGAATCGGCTAAACGCAGCACCAATTCGTAAATCCAATTCTGATCTAGCGTCTACCGCGTTTGCTTGACGATAATCCAAATCCACGGGTGATTGCCATGCATGACGGATTTGTCTAGATTTGAAAGTTGAGTGTCACCTAAACAAGTATAAACATATCGAAATATAAACATTGGAACGGTTTGAATAGGCGAAACTCACTGGGAAATAATTGCGGAAAATTTTGCCCTTGATACTCTAATTCTTGAATTCGCACCACGACAGACAGCTACGATCTCCGATCCAATGTTCTCACCCTCGCGATCACAATCAGTCCATATCATTATTTGTTCAGCATTGCGCGCTTCTTTTGCAATGTTATCACGAACGGCTTCAATTCCCTTTAGCATAAATGAAATTGGAATGGTTTTATCCGTTGAAGCATTCTTACCAATTTATAAATTTTTTATGGCCTTACTCGTATTACATGTTTCTCAGTGGGCGCATCAAACAATGCCAAAGGGGAGACTTGAGTCCAATTTTGATATTCAGGCGGAAAGTCATAAGCCATTAAATGGCCCAAAACAGATGTCATAGTGACTTGAACTGTTCTGTTATCACTAAATGTGCAAGAAAAGTCGTAGTTTTGGATATATTTATTTTTTGTAGGACGCTATGGAAAAGAGCAAAAGCCAACGCGACTTTAGGAACCATGAATGTAGTAGCATTTAAGCCAATAAGTAAATGTATTCTAGACGACCACAAACAAAGCTTTACCGTGCGAGTAGTTCCATGAGACAGGATTTGCGAAATTGATTTAGCCAAAGACGGTTTTTCAGCCACACATAATACCTTCATTTGGAAACAATTAAAGCAAGCTTACATAAGTATTTTTAATCGTAATGATGTGCAAGACACGAATAAATTTAGTATTCAAACTTTATTATTTAATAAACACCTCGATAATAAAGCGGCGAAAAGAACAACATTTTTATAAGACGCGTTTATTGATTGTGAAGGGCGATCAATCTTAATCATGTGACATACGTAATGTAGAACACTAAATTGATCTGTCAAATACTAAACCAGTATATTTAAAGATTCTCAATTTTACCAGATCATTTTTTCCATATATGTATATGTGGTGTAATTATTCATGCATGTGTAGATTGGATTATTGCTGTAAGTGGTTTGGGTTGTATAACTTTTTTGTAGCTTGCAACGTCTTTCTGCAGAAAATTTACGGTTAAAATTTCCTCGTAATTCCAAGTAAGGAGGCCGTCTAAAGCCAGGTTCGATCACGTAATACGAGGCTCGGTCAAACACCTCGGAAGATCGGACTGACCATTTTGTGTAACCCTCGTCCATCCATTTAATTTCATTAAAATTAAAAAGATATGATTTTTTAAAAAGTAATTATCTCTTTAGTTTAAACATAAATTTAAAATTTTTTATTTGTCTTGCTGCTCTTAAACTAATATTTTATTATTTTTATTTAATATAGGCTCCAGGTTTGCACTCAACTCTTGAACAAATAAATTTGTTTGTGTAAAATTGCCTCTCACTTCAACTTGCTAATATGCATCACATATTCTTTCAATCAACTCATTTACAACTAAACAATGACTTTCCATGGCCTTCTCAGCTTCAGTTCTTTGAGGTTTTCTTACTTCAATTAATTCACGATTTGTATAAATATCAAACCCGGCCTCTTCAAACATTTGCTGAAATCTCAACCATACTTTATTTGTTAACAATCTTATAGAACCATATATGTGCTCATGAAATATATGTCGACATGGCAGCAAATATTAGCAAAAAAAAAGATAGTTACAATCAAGCGACATAAGATCTAGTGTAGCTTTTCCCTTTTCTATTCTTCCTTCAATAGCACAAAACTCTGATTATCAATTGTTGTATTGGGTACAGAAATTTATGAATTTTACAAAGAGTGTCACTATCGATTCCAAATACTGAAATTTTTTTAGTGTGGAATTCGAAGGCAATATACTCCAAGTTTGAATGTTTTTTCTTGTCAAGTTCAATAACTTTATAGCATAAGTCTAAAGAATAGAAACAAATTAATTATAAGTCATTAATTGTACTAAAATTTAACTTTTTTTTTTTTTTTTTTGTATAGTATTTAGACTGAGTTGGAACTCTTATTCAGTTTAATCAGAACCAACTCAAGCCCAATTATTATACTGATCAAGCAACTATAGTTCAGAATCGATTTTTATTTTAAGTCAAAAGCCTAAGTATTAATTTTGTTTTTAAAATCAATTTCTTTTAAAACTATACATTATTTATATTTCAATTTAAATAACATTTTCGATTAGTAAAATTGTAAAACTCACTTAAATACCAGTGTTAACAATTATAACTATCCTTTCAAAAACCATACATATGCATAATCTATCTGCAGTTCGAACACCTGTCTTTTTGGTTCTGATTCTTTCATATTAGCAAATAATATAGAACTGATCAAAGTAACGCTGAATATAAAAAACACAAACCTAGGATTCAAATAAAAATTATTCAGATTCTTTGTCATTAAGCCATATTACTAAAAGCACAGAACCAAATTCAATATTATCAAACCTGTTATTTGATTTCGTAGTCAGTAGTATTAAGTTAAAATTCTTTAATGCAGTCATATTTTCACTTGTCTATCTTTGTGCTATTTTCCAAAGATCACATGTCTGGCACCAACTCTCTCACTGCCCCAGTATCGCCATCAAAATTTTCACCCCTCACGTGATGATCGACCAATAAGAAATTATCAAGTAAGTTGA